TTCGAGCGGTCGCAATTGTATAATCGTAAACGAGCCGCGCGCGAGGAGAGGAGGAACGAAACACCGTGATTGACTTCGAGTATTCTCTCCCGACTGCTTCCACATACTTATCGTCTAATAACAACAGAATAATTGTCTTGTCACCTCTTCTTCTTCATACATATTAATACTATACTCATACACAGCGCGTAAATATTATACCAAACATTAAACTTAAGAATATTAATGCTAAACACTCTTGCAGAGATGCAGAAGAATTCGATAATTACCCAGTAAGTACAAGTAACAATAACATTATATCAGTGTTACAATTTCCCACTCAGCAATGCAAGTGTAATATAACATATGTTGTACATAACAATCATATTGTGCTGAGAAATTATAATGATGTAATGTTACTATTGGTTGGTGTTTACTGTATATTTGTGATTGATTACTTGCAGTGATATCCGCGTAATTAATTAAGAAATAATAGAGTAATTGGATAATGAATTAATTCAAGTGGAGAAGGTTTGGTATCTCGCGGAGGAATATTACACGCTCTTGCAGAGATAGAGAAATTAATGTTACATTAACTTAATTAGCAAATTAAGGTTTCTTGATTAATTTCGAGGTTGATTCGATATCGTTTCAGTGTCTATCACAATATAATTCCCTTACCATATTAAGTCAACGTTTCAGCGATATTAACGCGCCGCTCTATGATAGAGAAAATTATACAACGTTGTATCCCTATAGAGGAAAGTTTAATTTACTGAGATGATGCAGCAACACTTTGATAATAATAACACTGACTTTAGTGCTATGTGGGCATATTATGTATGTCAGATGAGGGGGAATGATTAAAAGAAAACGCTACTTTGTAACCGACACGACCGACCTTGCTCGAAAACAAACTTGCTCCTAGTAAACTGATGTTCCCCGCTGATCGTTACAACTTTGCCTCCTTTGTCTTCGTCGTAAACAAGTTGTTAAAGTGCCTTTTTATTCACGGGAACGCTAATTATCTCGCAACGTCGGCAGCTCCGCGCTTCTTACTCTTACGTGGTGGAAGGTATCGTTATTGCGAGGTCGAGGAGAGAAGAGACCCGACTCGACATCGGCATGAGCTCCTAGCCGGCTCCGCAACGGTGAGATATGCGCTTTAGATTAGACTTATGCGCCAGACATACGCTTGCACATATACTGGCTGGAGTTACGCGGAGGAGAATTCGTTGGCCTTATTATTTCAATAGACGCTGTACGTGCGCCGCGGCTGCGGCTAGATAAAGAGCCCGATGATCACTACGAAACAATCATTTTGATTTTGAATGATAGATTAATTTGGATTAAGGCTCCTGGCTTTTCGCATTGTCTATCTCTTTTTAATGACGTCATAAAAAATTGTGAAAGAACAAGCACAATTTTCAGGCAATCTGACCCTCCAGTCTCCTTAATAATAGATTAATTAAAACGATCTTGTTACCTCGCGAATAAATATTACACACTCTTGCAGAGATACAGAAGAATTCGATAATTATCCAGTAAGTATAAGTAACAATAACATTATATCAGTGTTATAATACTCATCAATGCAAATATAATATAATACATGTTGTACATAACAATTATATCGTGAGAAATTATAATGATATAATGTTATTATTGGTTGGTGTTTACTGTATATTTATTTGTGATTGATTACTTGCAGTGATATCTGCATAATTAATTTAGAAATAATAGAATAATTGGAGTGATAATGAATTAATTCAAGTGGAGAAGATTTGGACTTCGCGGAGGAATATTACATGCTTTTGCAAAGATACAGAAGAATTCGATAATTTATCCAGTAAGCACTGAGAGTAACAGCAACTTTACATGAATGTTTCTCACTCAACAAAGTAAGTATAATATGACACGTGTCGTGTGTGTACATAACAGTTCAGATTTGTTGAATGAGAAATTATAACATTGACGTAATGTTACTGTTGGTTGGTGTTTGCAGAGTATTTTTTACTAATTACTCACAGTATTTTTATTTGTTTTGTTTTTAGCACTTGCAGTAATATTTGCGCGAAAGGATTTGATAGACTTCCGCGATATTAGCCGAAAAGAGTCTCGAGTCCAACGATCAATCTAGTTCGCTAGATGAAAATGTCCTTCGTAGCAAAAATATCCAGTTTAGAATCGCGGCAGTGTAAGAATCGCGTTCTCGTTCTCCCGGTTGCGTCGCTCAAGAACGACGGAGTAGGTAGGTTTCCCGGGCTACAATCAATTACCGTCCGTTTGTCGGTCTCTCTTCAGCGTTCTGTAGCACAAAAGCGCTCGCACAGGTGCGTTCTCTCTTCGCTCACCGTCTCTACCATTTCTGTACCTCGATTCCTCTGCTCCGCTGCGCTCGTTCTCCATACTCTTCTCCGCGTCTTCGCTCGCAATCCGGACGAGTTCCTCGTCTAAAAGCGCCGAGGATGTTAGCCGCAAATGAGGCCCTCATATAAAAACGCTGGAAGTGTCTAAAACAATTGTCTGAGAAAGGGATTTCTTAAGTGGCGAAAGGAAGGATGTAGTATGTAGATTTAAAAGAATACATAGAAATATTAATTTTTTAATTATGTTAAGAAAGTTTTCAATTATATTAAAATATAATTTATGTATTTAATTATATCAACATTTTTCAGTTCTCTCTCTTTCTAATTATTTTGATTTGCATGAATAATCGTTACTTGAAACTTACCTCAGTTGAGGTACTCAAATCTGAATTTAGAATTAGATTTGAGCTTTTAATTTAAATCACATAGTATACGTGACATTGCATTTGTAATCGTGATCCAGCTGAAAACTAACTTTAAATTCAAATCTGAGTATCTCACCCGAAATAAGTTTTAAGTAATGACTATTAATATCAGTCTAAGGCTTGTATTAATAGTCATTACTTGAAACTTGTCCCGCGTACTCAGATTTCTCAGAATTCAAAACTAGATTTAAGTTTTTCCTTTGAATCATGTAATATATATGACATTCTATTTATAATCACATTCTAATCTAAGTCTCTCTAAAACTGAGACAAGTTTCGTGTAACGACTATTAATACAGACTTTAGACTCATATTAATAGTTGTCACCTGAAACCTTGTTTCATGTGAAATATTTGGATTCTTATTTATAATTATATCCAAATTCTTCAGATTACTTATAATATATGTGACATATATATCTATTATTGTGCGATTCAACTGAAAAAAAAATTTACATCTAACTTTGAAATCAGATCTGAGTATCTTGTTTGAAAAGGGTTTCAATTAATAACTATTAATACGAGTTTAAGAGCTCGCACATTGTATCTCTCTTTTCCGTCTACTCATTATTTTGAATGCATGATCCAAGACTAATTACGTAGACCTTATTACACGGTATTAGTGAATTCATGTGGCTTGCGGAAACAAATGCATAATTAAATACGTGAACTTCGTCGAACATGATGGAGCTTCCGAGAGACCTCGAAGTCGCGAGTTAAATGGTCCGAATAGCTCCAGGTGTCGTGTACCGTGAGAGGCCTGACATTTCTGCATACCTCGTACCTTGCGTACTTTACGCTGTGCTTGTCTGATTCGCTAATACACGTAAACTCCATCACGGTCTTTGCCAAACAGTGCAAAACTCCTTGAAATACTTGTCGCCGATACTCGCGGCGTATACACGCGACGATGATACGGCGTTACCTAAAGTGGCAGATGCGTAATCCCGAGTGGGCGCTGACACGAAATACAGCGGATGAAATTTCCGTCGCAAGCTACGGTTAAATCGCTAAAGAAGGTCTTGGCGTTCGCTGGATAGATCGTTTTATCACGCGTTCGCCCTCGCCGGGATAGTGATATATTTTTGCCACCTCGATCTGCGATCTCCCACGCGTCGCATATTTCGCCAATCGCACGAGACAAGAAGTCTCGCAAATTCTATTTGCGCACAAAGTACTCTCTAAATTTCTGGCAGTGAAATTTCACTCGGAGAGCACACTGTAAAAACTGATGTGTTAAATTTAACACATTTCATGTGTCCCAAATCCATCCACTCTCATTTATGTGTAAATTTAATACAAAACAAATGTGTTAAAAAGTAACACGCATAATATGGAAAAAATTAACACAAGAATTTAACACTTAAATACCATCATTAGGAATCACAGGTTGTGTTAAATTGACATATTTAATATGCCAGATATAGATTATGTCAATTTAACATTTTGATTTCATCAAAACCATTAATATTTCTCTCAAATGTTAAGGTAACGTTTTATTTTAGTTAATTCAACATATGTCAATTTAATACAAACTGTGATTCCTGGCTGGTATTCAAGTGTTAAATTGTTGTGTTAATTTTTTATATATTATACGTGTTATTATTTCCCACATTTGTTTTATGTTAAATGTACACATAAATGAGAGTGGATGATTAGGTTTGCTGAAGAATGAATCCCTTTTATATGCAGAAAGTTGAGATTTAATAAAATGGCGGTTACTCGAAGGTATAAGTCATTTTCTTTTCTCCTGCTTTTTTATTCAGCGTCCCGCTAACAATGTTAATTGTGCACATTTCCCAAAGGATTCAGGTTCCTCCTCCAGCAAACTTAATACAGTTCTTAAATTTTTTTGTCCTATTTGTTTCAGATTATTATATGAGCTGTGATATTGTCTACCAGTTAGAGACGTCTCAGCATAAAAAAAGCTTGAACGAAATTTCAAACATTTTTCTTTTAATAATTCTTTCATATTCCAAGCAATGATAAATAATAAAAATGGTCAAAATATATATTGACATGTTTATTCATTTCTTCACAAAAAGAACTCGTGGAAACCTCCCATTTTTCGGCTGTTTAAATCTCTCCTTAAATTCACTCTTGCGATTCCCGGTGACAGTATTTTCACAATCGAACAGCGCGATTTCGCTCCAAGGAATTTAGATAATATCTATCGCTTATTGAAATTTATGAGATTGATCGTGTGCCTTTCTCTTTGACTGTTTCAGTATCGATCAGAAAGAACATCTATCTTACTTGAACTTCAAGATGGTAACAAACGAATGGCGCGCAATCAAGGCTCGCCGCGCGTGCCTCGATAAATTACTTCGATTCCTTGGCCGTCCGTTGAAACAACTTTGGGAAATGCGGACGAGGAAAAAGATCCTCGACCTGCGGGGGTTGAAGAAGCGCGCCGTACAACACAATGGGAGGACGAAGAACGGCACACTGGCGATGCACTCGGGGCAGCATCCAACGATAGCCTCCACTTCGCGCGCAATTACTTGGTTTTTGTTCGCCCCCGGAGGACGGGTTCCTCGTGGTCTGTTTTCAGGCTGCGGCAAAGCGGATCCCGTTTTGCCGCACGGCTGCGAGGGAGCGAGAGAGACAGCGAGAGATTTCCGCTCTTTGTTCGCTCTGTCCCCGCTGTCGTCCAGCTCGTCCTTGCGCCGCTACGTCGTCCGTAAACGCGAAGGGGCGTAGAGAAGAGTATCGTCGCGATCAATTTGCATCGCGATATCGAATATCGATTGCGCAATTGGTCACGATGTAACGCGACGTTACGACGGGCGGATCGATCGCCGCGCGATTCATTCTCGGCTGACAATCGTACGGGAGGTAATTATCGTTACATAACAATAACAAATGCGCGACGTCGATCGGGCAGAAACGTCGGCCGTAATGCCGGCGATAATTTTGCCATGTAACGGACGATTGTGTTATTCAACTGCATCGCGAGTTCACCTCTGCGTGTCTTATGAATGCGACACCCAAGCAGCACAGGAATATTCTATAAATTTTCCATGAATATTCATCAAGTATTTGTATATTCTATGAATGCGCCAAAAACACTGTTATATTTTCATAGTATGTTGATAGTTTGAATGATATAACTATAAAATGTTCTATGAATGTGCACAGAATATACGTAAAACGTAGCTTAATCACATTGATTTTGCTTTTACAATTATAAAGGAATAATTCAAGTATTTCGATACGTATCATTACCAAGCTGTAAACAAGTATTGCTAATTACATTAGGAAAACTTTACAGTTACATGAATATATTGCACATTGCGCAGTAAAATCAACCTTACGATTGTTCAGAGCACATTGTTTTCTATTATAATGTATCCATAGAATTCGATTCGAATATTACGGAATTAAAAATATTTGTATTTCCTAAGAATATTTATAGAATATTTTTTGCTATTTGGGTAGTGGCAATTCTCACTCAATTGAATACCATCAGATTCACTGCACAGAACAAAATTAAAATTAACAATTAATGTTTCGTATCTAAACAATGATAAATAATTTTCATGTTAAAAGAATTTTTAGGTTTCGAATTTCGACACACAATATTATTTGAATATTATAATTGATAATTAAATAAATCGTAATGATCCTCTTCCAACATTTAAAAAAACATCATATTCTCAATCCAATATTTTGCTTTCTATTTATTACAATTATTTTTTTATAACAAGAATATATTTTTTTTTTATTGAATCTCATATACACATATACAAAATGTATTGATATAAATCCCTTTGTTTAACGTTATGTAATTTTATTTTAAGAGATTTAGACATGTCAATAAAAATAAAGATTTCAAAACATGAATGTTCTCTTTTCTTTGTGGTAATCCCATAAACACTTTTACATGCTAGTTTTTGTTTCGTTTCTTCTGTTTTAATGAATATGAAATAGTGAATATTACAAATGCAAAATGAAAATGAAAGTCCAATGGCGGCGAGGACCTCTCGAGATCGCTGGTTTAAGAAATGTTTACTCTAAGATTATGTAAAGACTAGAAGATTTTTTATTTTAAGTCCGTGTAAAGAGAAAATTGTATTGCGATAATACAATGCTGTACCGGGAGGGATACTCTATAACGGAAGGATCCGAGATAAAATTGTCGAATGCTCTTCCGCTAGGCGGTTTTTGTGTACCAAATGCGTTTCGGATATAGGTAAAGTCCTGCTTCCGTTGTTGACCGCAAAGGCGGGCCGAACAAGGTTAATCGCGATCTTCCTGTATGTTTTAACACGCGTGATACGCTTTATGATGGAAATCGCTGGAAATCGCTCGGCAGAATGGAGCGAATCATGCACCGCGTTAGGGACAGCCGTGCCTGCGGTTGATTGAAGCGAACGTCAGCGACTGTCGAGATGAACAAGATCGATGGTGCCTCTTCGCGTCAAATTGACATCTAAACTCGAGTTGGTCGAGCTCGTGTCTGCTTCCCAGAAACGGGTACGAACTCGACAAGTTGAAGTTTACTGTCTTACGTGTCGGCTGCTGAATGAGAGAATACTTGTACAAATAATTTTCTTTCTCATGCAAATGTTTTACGCGAGTTCACCTCTGCGTGTCTTATGAATGCGACACCCAAGTAGAGCACAGGAATATTCTATGAATTTTTCATGAATATTCAAGTATTTGTATATTTTATGAATGCGTCATATGTGTATTTTACACTGATTACCATTTGATAGTGCGTGCGAGAAGGGTTTCATTATTACAGCTTAGGGCCATAAAAAGTTCAAGTCCGCCACTGCCGTTAGATGTTACGGCTTTATGGTTGAGGCGCGGCTACAGAAATAGCCCGTGACTCAATATTTAGGCAGCGCCGATTTGGTAAAGCACGTTCCCGTCACGAAGCCGTCCTATAGGACGGCACGGCGGTATTATCAACAAGACATTCATCATCGACACCAACACACACTTCGTAGCCGATGTCGAAGGCTGAAGATATATCATGACAGTGCGTTCGGATTACACTAACAAAGGGCAAACTGGGAGATTCCAACTTGCGAAAAAATTTAAACTCATAGCATGTGAATGTTATTTCGGAGAGACTACTTCTTGTTCTGCCCATAAGTTTTGAAAAAATACAACTTTTCAATGATAAGGTAATTCTTTAAATCTATTTTAATATCTTCACAGAAAAATTCACTTGCATAATGTTAAATTTAAGAAAGAAAAATACAAAATTATTATGATTTTTCGTGATTAATTGTAATAATGAAATAATAATCAATTAATTATTATTATTAAAAAAAAGATTTTACATCTTTTCTTCAGAATAACTCTTAAAACATTTAAAATTTATAGCGTACAATGCAGCGTTGTTTTGGAAAGACTTCTTGTTGCGGCCACAAAGCAGTTTTAAACTCTTCAACACGATAAAGTAATTTTTCAAATGTTTTCACAGAAAAATTCACACAATGTTGGATGTAAGAGAGAAAAATATGAAATTATGATTTTGTATGATTAATTGTATAACGTAATAATAATCTAAAACATCAACTTTTTAAATTATTATAAAAAAAAAAATTTTTATATCTTTTTTCCTAATAACTTTCAGATTTTTTTTTATTTTTGTTTTTAGAATTTTTAAATATTACTGAAATTTGCTGCTATTAGAGAAGATGTAAAAGTAAAAAAACGAAACATTAGAAAAATAATATTGATAAAAAATTATTTCAATACGTACAATTCTCCGAAATTTTTTATCTACGTATACGTTGTTTATGTGAGGTAAGGTAATGTCATGTCATGTTCAAGAGAAGTCACAACGCAATAATCAGATTTAAATACAAATTTATTGAAGTCTTTAAGTGCTCGTTATTGTAACGTAACATTAATGATAAGTGTCCGTGTAATGTGCTTTAGATTTATTGGTAAAATTTCCTTTTTTTTTTTCTTAAAAATTACTTTACATTCAGTCATACGGGATAGACGCATATGCCGTTGCATGAAATTATGTGTCGCATAATTTCTCAGGATACCCGTCGTAATGATCGCGCGACTTTTGGGGCACTTGCGGTGAAAAAACGAGAACAAATTGCAATCAAGCGTTATCACTTGAGCACAGGTTTTATTTGCAAAAAAATGTCTTCACTGAGGAAGACATCTTGAAGACTGAGGAACATTCTCCCTTCCGTAATTACAACTTATCACGTATTATATATCCGTTGCTCAAGATTGACACCAAGCTTGGCTTGCAATTCTTCTTTTATCGTATTATTGCTAGTGCTCCGAAAATCGTGAGCACGATTACGGTGTACCCTGCGCATACAATCTTATAGTACATGTAACAATTATACTCTCGTTCGCACGCATAAGAAAAGTGACTGCGGGTCCTTCGTCGGGTCTCTTATCCCAGATTGGTATCATTATTATTACGCTCGTTCTGGTATCGTTACAGTAAACGCAAAGCAAACCCAATCGCCTAAATCGCTAACTTTGTACTCTGCTTTCGCGCTGTTTCCGTAATCGAGATATTATTTGGTATTGCAATGTTCATAAGCACGTATCACAACATGCTCGATCTAAGGCAATCGTTGAAGTGTCAACGATTCGGTGTAATCAAACGAGTGCAACTGATTATTTTACCTTACGCGTCAGAAAGTGGGAATGATCTTGTATCTTTGTCTACACTCTCAAGTGCTCGCAAAATAAACGCAACATCGAGCCTATTGTCGACGGTACATCGTCGCTGAGAGAGTAACGCAATTATTCAATAACGGACGACTCTTCAAAGTTACCGGTACACAAAAAAATTTTAACGCTAGTTACTACTTCCTGACTTCTCTAATGTAAATTGGCTATAACGTAGAATTGTTGACGCAGTCAGTTGATGCAGCAAATACTTAATCAGATAAGTATTCAGAAATTATTTCGATGAATTTTAGGGTATCGGCAGTAAAGAGACGATTAGAATAGCGTGTAGCTGTGTATTGGAATATGATTCAGATAAACATCGTCAAACTCATAATGCCGACTAACACACAGGCGGTGGAGACGATGATAACGGGAAGAATCTAACGACATTTCTCCAAATGCGATGACACTTGTGTTATATTACATTATACATTGTTATTTTGCGTGAAAACATAACGAGTATTGTAGAAGACTTGTGTAAAAGACGTGTGTCAGATATGTATACACATATAATGTAATATAATGTATAAATTATATATATATATATATATATAATTTATTCGGACAACATGTGGTATAAATCGTGTAATCGCATTCGTCGTCGTGAATACAACATCGTGGTTGTAATCAAAAAAATAATTATGTCGTGGCCGTCCCAGTCCCTCATCGAACAAATTCTTAACAGTAATAGATTCCAAAGAGGATGCCGTGTAACTTCGAATAGGGCAAAAAAACGCTCAATCATTAACACCAAATCATTGATCTCCTTCAGTCATTGACACTCTGAGAGCCGGTTTTTCAATAGCAGTTTATTTGCATTTGTTTTATTTAAACAGAGTTTAACTTGAAATCTAAGTTTAAACTATCATTGAAAAACCGCCCCTGAAAGAGCCTAGGTTTTCCTTACGATCAATGATGATTGTTTATAGTTTTAGTTGCGAAGTTTTCTTCTGGAATCATTGAGTGCAGAGGCAAAAAATTCAACTGCAATGTTGGTCGCATAAAACATCTAGTTCTTTTTCTAGAGCTTCAATGACCAAGATTAATGGATGTCGATAATTGGGTGTTTCACTCTATTAGCCGAAATAATCGTAACTCTGCTCAAAATGATCGATACAAAACTGTAAGATTGCATTACGTTCAGTTTGAATTTCAATGTAAGTCGATTATCATCTCATTGATTCACATTGAGTTAAAATTCACATTTAACTTGAAATTCAGACTGAACCTTGTATAATGTTATTGGGTTTTGTATCCATCACTTTAAACAGAGAGAATCACCCAATCCTGTTCAAGTCTCCCTTCGATCATCGAGTTCATCAAGAGAGGTTCCATCGCAAAAGTTTCGTGAATTGTCCCGTTTGACAACAAAGTAACGAGATCTCGGCGATATCAGTAATATTGCGGTTCGCCCATTCGATCTCGGGCGTCAATTAACGTATTCTACTTATGAATATAGAGCGCGAACATCTCTGTTGTCGTGCGAGAAACATTTTCAACGACGAATAATTCTCCATTTGTCATTGCGAATGCCGCACGTACATAGTTTTCCCAACGTCAAGAGTGTCGGATTTCTTCGACCACAGAAGAAATCCGAGCGATACCACGGTGCTCATCTCTGTGTTAAACATCTTAAAAAATCTACGTTCTATGTACACGCCAGTAGAAGAGTATCTCACAAGGGGACGCAAAGATTTGCGAAATTTCATGTCGCAAGGGAGATTTCTAATGAGAAAATACTGTCTTCCGTACACGAAAAAGACGGTCAGCATCGCACGGTGTTTCTACTGTGCGCTCTGTTCGCAAGTGCTGGCGAGGATGACTGGATTCTGGTTCTCAGGAAGCACACCTTATCCTCGGCGACACATTCGACAGGACTTTAGCCGTGCGAACACAATGACTCATCCGGAGCTCAACCGAGTCCTCTTAGGAGTCCATCGATACAACGGTTCACCTGACTGAGCGGCAAGACTCACGCTAGCTTCATGTATATCGTGCGTTCCCTCATCTTGCAGTGCTTGAGCTCTCGCAGAGCCCGTTGCGCCTCACTCGGAGACGAGAAAGCCACCCGTGCGTCACCCGTGGGCATACCTCTCTCGTTGTACCGGCGAATCACGTTTTCCCGCTTCACGTCGAAGTCGCCGAAGAAGTCGATGATCTCGTTGATGTCCGCTTTGAACGGCACGTTCTCCAACGAGAGCACGCAGCCGGGTTTGCCGAAGCCCTCGACGTAGTCCATGGCGGGCGGATGGCGGCCCATCATGTGCCGCGGCATGCCCATCATCCCGGGTGGACACCTGGGCCCGAAGCCGGAGTTGCCGAAACGCGGCGGCAGATGGCCCATAGGGCCGGCGAAGCGCGGCCTCTGCTCCTGGATCGGTGGGAAGTGCTGCTGCTGCGCCTCCATCATTTGCTGGGGATCCACCATGCCGAGGGTCTCAAGCATTTTGGCGCGCGGCATCAGCTCGATGGTGGGTACGTTCTTGCCGAATGGCAGACCGTTCTTGGCAGTGGCGCGCAGCGCTTCGTCAGCCGTGTCGAACTCACAGAAGCATTCGCCAGCCGGCTTGCCGTTCTGATTGAGCATCATGTGAATACGATGCGGCACGATGCCGATGTCCGAGAAGAAGTCCAAAATATCGCGGTCGATCGTCTGGAACGGCAGGCCGCGCATGATAATGCAGTCCGACGACGCGGGCTGGTTCATGCTCGCTTGCTCGTGTTCGCGCTTCGCCTGCGAGAACGTGTCCTCGCTAATGGCGGTCGCGGTCACCTGCTTGTTGCCTATCTTGAGTGACGCGGTGAGCGACGATTTGGCGTCCTCCAGCCGCGCGAATTGCACGTAAGCTATGTACTGAGTGGTGCTACCCTCCTTGGTATTGGTGATGAAGAGATCGTTGATCTTCCACTCGTGGAACAGCTTGGCTATGTCCATCTCCTTGGTGAAGGAAGGCAGGTCGGTCAGCAGGATGCAGGTGGAGTTTCTGATGTCGCCCTCGGAACTGTCTTCCGGCCTCTCCTTATCGGGTGAGTAGGAATTCGCGGTCTTATCGAAGATGCTCTCATCGAGGTGCAGCACCTCTATCTCGGAGCCTCGTACGTATCTCGTCGTGCTGAGCGCGAGTTCCTTGCCCTCAGCTTTGCCAAACTTTACATACGCGATGCCCACTCGGTTGCCGTGATTGTCATTGATGATCTTCATGCCGTCCTTACGGATGTAGATACCTTGGAAAGCGTGGCGCAGATCCGCGTAGGTCGCGTTCAACGGCATGTTGCGCACCTCGACGCAGTGGCCGTTGCCGCTGCTGCTCTTGTTGTCGGAGAATCTCGAGTTGCCGGACTTCCTGCCGGACGTTTGGCGCTCGTTCTCGAAGTTTCCGTAGCCGGGGGAGCCGGACTGGAATGCGTGCGGGTTTCGACGGCCCTCGAGCTCTTGCACCTTGTTTATGAAAGGATTATTCGGCCTGACCCCGCGATAGTTGCCGTTGGCGTTGTACTCCTGGCTGTTGAACTGATTCGACCTTCCGGGAAATCGCGTCTGATCTAGTCTGCTTTGCTCGCCCTGGCTCCAAGGCTCCTTGGGACGCGTCAGGGTGCCCAGGCTACCGCTGTTCAAGTTCTGCGACAGTGGCGTTATACCCACTGTGTGTCCCAGAGTCTGTACGTGCGGCTGCATCAGGTTGCTCACGCCGTTGAGGCCGTTGATGGAAAACTGGCCCGACTGCAGCATCGGCTGTTGGCCGATCACCGGCGTGCCGAAGCCTATAGATCGCTGTTCCGAGTCCTGAGACAGAGCCGCGACCCCAGCCCCGAGGATACCCGGCGCCAACAGAGCAGCCTGCATCTGCGTTTGCGGCGGCACCTCCCAGATACCATTTTCGAGCGGCTTCTTCGCGCCAGCCGCCGGCTTGTCTTTGTGAAACTGGCCGACGCATACGACGTCGTTGTTGTCGTCCTCACTGGCTTCCTTGCGCCGATCACCCGTGGAGTTCCTCTTCGAGTCGCGGTCGCGCGACCTCGTGCGATCTCGTGACCTGGAGCGATCGCGTCGACGCCGTCGGTCCCTCCTGTCGCGCTCCCGGTCCCGAGATCTGCTGCGGTCTCGCCGTCGTCGGTCCCTTCCTCGATCGCGATCGCGCCGATCTCTGTCCCTGTCGCGATCGCGCGACCGCGATCTGTCTCGCGATCTCGACCTGTCGCGTCGCTCCTTCCGCTCCTTGTTGACCTCGTTCTCGCTCTCCTTGTCCCGTCTCTCGTTCGGCGAGCCCGGCTTCGTCTGGACCACCGGCGGTACCGCCACCGGTGCCTGCATGAAGCTCTGCAGATTCAACGTCTGTTGTCGCGCAGCCTCGATAACCTTCTGCATCTCTGTGCGCGAGCTCAGCAACAGCTTGATCTTCATCTCCTTGATCTTGCCGCCGTCGTGCATCATCGCCTGCCGGGCATCCTCGTCGGTACTGGAATAGCGAAAGCATCGTTTACGTGAGATTCGTTCCGGTCTCGAGATCCGTTTTACTGAACCCGTGAATTTATTAAGCGACGTAAGCCTTTTTTCACGGCATACTAAAAGATATTAAAAAATCTTTCTTTGGTGGGAGTACTAATAACATGTTTGCTTAAGGCCCTTGGGCATTCGGCTATCTTTGTTCGATGACGTCAGAGGCGAGAAATCGCACGACCATGATTCTTGCGTTGAAATAAAAAGATATACCCATAAAACGACGCTTGTAATCGATTCAGTATTTGTAAAATACTTCGAACACTCTCCTCTTGCTGTAAAATTAGCATGACACGTAACTCAGTTTTAAACACTTTTCTCATCATTTCTGTTATGTTAATTTTATGGCTATTTATTGATCGTGACAGCAAAAAGAGAGTGTCCGGAGGATTTTGCAAATTTGCTGAATCGATTACAAGTGTCTTTAAATGGACGTATCTTTTTATTTCAACGTATAATGCAAGAATCGTGAACATGCGATTTCTCACTTCTGACGTCATCAAATAAGAACAGCCTACGCGAGTAGGCCTAGGGGCTTTAACCTAAATTCTTTTATTTAAATAGAATAAACAATTCAACGCTTTCAAGAAAGTTGAGGTTTTCTTAAGGCCCCTTCTTGATTCCTTATCGCCAAATACTTGATTGATGACGTCAGAAACGAGAAAATACACGCTAAAAATTCTTGCAAAATACGAAATAAAAAATGTATCTATAAAATAATATTTGCAATCGATCAAGACTTAAAACAATCCTAGCACTTTTCTTTTGTTCGAACAATCAATAAATAACTGTAAAATCAATGTGTCACCCGACTTTCCTCCTTAACTTGTCTTTTCTTATAATTCTGTTTTTTATAAATTTACATTAAATTAAAACGTTAATTTTACGGCTACTTGTTGATTGTTAGAGTAAAAGCAAATTTTTTTATTTGAAAAAATATTTTATATTTAGTATAAGTAAATATGTTATTAGTACATTTATTGCGAATAAATATTTATTATTTCTTAGATTTTTTTTCTTCTTCAAGAGAATTGATTGGAAATTTTCACAAGCGTCTTCGCGGATTTAAAAAATTTTTTGCATTGTCTTCATATGTATAATCTGCGATTCAAATGTATATTATTTTAAATTTATTGAAATTGGATTTTTTTTGCAACAATAAATACTACTTTGTAACAAGCAATACTACGACACGTGTGAACAATTATATATAGTTCCTTGAATAAGATAATAATTTTATAGCAGTTTAGAGTCAAGAAAAAGAATAATTATTAACGAAGTTCAGTAATGGCCGTAAATTAACGCTTTCCTTTATGCATTCGGCATCTCATTAGAGCTTTCTAGCGTCCTACTAAGCAATTATCTTCTAATTGAGATACGATCGAGTTACGTACGCGTTGAAGCTAACATTAATGACAAGGCAAGTGGCTGCTCGTAATGCCTGACTTTCTGCCTTACATAGTTTTGACTTCAGATCTCTTTCATTTATTTTCTATGAATTTTTCTTAATATACTAATCCGGTCTATTAATTTATTCAGAAATATTATTGTTGATTTATACTTTTATTCTATTGATATTAATGCGCCATCGTAGAATTATTATAAGTGATTTTTAGTTGTATGTGAATGCAATGCGGGAAAAAGAGTATAACTGGACGACTGCACGATCCGCCGAGACATCGTTCACGTCTCGAGTGAACGACGTAGAAAATAAGAAATGCAAATCAAATTCAGGTCGCCCTGCTTCCTGAAGAAGTGAATTGAAATGTTCACGAATGGAACCAAACACAAGGAAGACAAGCAAAGTAAGGGATGCAAATGCATTCGCTGTTCGTGGCCGCGTTCTTTTCTTATTCTTTTAGTGCTTAATCAATCAATTACCTGAATGCAATGAACGCATCTCCCAGCTCGCCGCCGACGATGTGAACTCCTCCCTCTGGAATGCTCAATCCTCTGAAGAACTGGCGTATGTCCAATGCGTTGGCGGACCATGCCAGGTTTTGCAGTCTGATTATGACACTCATTTTCGCGCTTTATGCGATGCGTGTATCTGCAACCGAGCGGAGAAGCAACGAAATTAAACGACGGAGATGTGCGAATCCGTGTGTGTTGACTGTTGCGACAGCCAAGTACTTTCGCTGATAATAAAACAATTAAGTGTCGAAAATGCTCGGTCGGAGTTGCATGTGAGTAGCAGGAGGGAATAAAAATACATTTTCCAGGAATATACATCCTCTTTATTGATTTTTATACGGATACATCGTTCCCATATGCCTGCCTCTGATCAATATTTACCTTACATCGATGCAACGCGCGCCGTTTGACATTAGCTTTTATTATTTAACAACAAATAATTTTAATATTGTATATTATTTAATAATTAATAATTATGGAATAATTTATATCTTGTGCACGTTTCCATTGCGTAGGATTTTATTGTTATTTGGTTGCACGACGGTAAAACGATCAAGTATAGAAATACATGCTACATTCTAAACAAATAGTTTGAGAAATATATCTTAAGTTCATATACTCGCAAATCTATAAGTTTATCATAAGCATCAAATTTATTCGAGATACGTTCTGAATCTTATACAGAAAAGAGAACATTCTTGTTTTGAAGATACTTTATTTTTACTGGCATGTGTAAACTTTAAAATGTGTATAAAGTTACACAGCGTTATAAATGAAGATAAGTATACATTTTCATATGATTTAACCGAGAAAAATATATCCTTGTTATTTAAAAATAATTTTCATAAATGAGAAGTATAAAATATTTGATTAGAAATGATGTTTTTAAACGTTGAAAGAAAATAATATTATACACTGTTAAATCCGTAGTGTCAAATTATACTCAATTTGAGTTATTTTTAACCATTCCTATAAGTCGCCACTGCTCCTACTAAATATGTTGTTAATTTAACTAATGTAATGGAGTTAAATAATTTAACTTAAGAAATGTATTAAATTTGACTAAAATTTAGTTTATTTTTTATGTGCACGTTAATGTAACCTTTGTTTTAGTAAAAAATGACAATATTTTTTTAAATGGGTTGATTAGATGTGGTTGTTTTTTTAAACACATGTTTTGTGTTAAAATAGTAAATTTTGACACATATGATAGTTAAAAATAACTAAATATTATTTAATTCAAGAAATTTGTTTAAATTTGACCCTCCAATATTTAACAGTCTATTATTAAAATAATCATATTGTGCTTCTTTTGAGACGACTTTAATAGGCAAATAAAATTATAACATTGTTGAAACAAGACTCTTTAAAATTCTTTCGACAAAATTATGTATGTCGTTGCTTATACATGAAACAATGATTGTTGGTTTGAATATATTAGTTTTAAGTATACTAATTTTTTTCTGTGTAGTAAGTTTAGCACTTCAAGAATATTAAGTTAAAAATCTAGTTCGCTTATTATATAAAGTCGAACTTCAACTTGTTCGTTTTTTTTCGATGAAGTCTTATAATATTCTGGTAGAGAATTTTTTCTTCTGAGAATACGTGATAATGAGCCTTTCTTAATTTTGCGACGAATATATTTTAAGACTATCGACCGGGGAAATATTCTCTGTTGAAGGTAACCATACTCTGTTGAGGGTAATTTAAAAGAGACAATCCAAGTGATTGGAAGAACCAATGACGAGAAGAATAGAATATTTTCCTGTGCGTAGAGGCAAAATAATGAGGAAGTATTAAAACTCGAGATGTCAATAAGGACTGTCACCAAAGCGTTCACCTCCTTCCGTTGTCTGTTGCCGTGGGAAATGAATATTCCACCAGCCGAAATGTGAATCTCTCCCATTTCCATATTTCCTAATCACTACGACCGAGTTATAAAGTGTGCCGCGTGAGAAACGCGATTTTCGATCGAGTGTGTGCGCGCGGAGGCGTATATTTCTCGTGCTCGCAACTTGCGCAACGCTCTTCGCGGGTAAACTTTCCCTCCGCACTGATTTGAGCGAATGTAATATCGCACAAATAAGGCAGCAAGTACGACGAAGCAGTCATCTGCGATCGCAGCTCGCTTCGTACAATGACGTGAAGATATGCGGCCGGACACGTTGTATGTGTGTGTGTGTGTGTGTGCCGTGTATATTTTATTATACAATAATTCGATTCAATATGCACTTTAACGGCGGCTGACCGGCCGGAAAAGTCACGCAAGGATAGACACATGATCGAAAAGCAGTTAAGTGGATTTATTAGCATAAAAGGCGCTCGGGCGCGTGCATTTCCATAAGGAAACATGCGCCTCGTGCGTTGACATGAATGCATGAACGAGATTTATCCCGATTGACGAGATATAAGATCAAATAAAAAAAGGATTTACTTGCTTATTTATCTTTATCTTGCAGATCAAAATTCTTAAGGTCTTTCTTAAGAATTCTTCAAATCTATCGATTTTTATTTATTTATTATTATTATCATTTATTTATTTTAAAGTAATAAATCTCGAGTGATTGAGAAAAATACTTTTTTGTAGCCTATGTACCTTGTATCTTGTATTCGTGTGCAAAAAATCATTAAACACAAATGAAAAAATTATTTATCTCAGAGATAATTCTTAAGATTTTTTAGCAATTCTGAGATTCTTGGGATCTATCGATTTTTATTTATTTATTGTCATTATCATCATCATCATTATTATTTATCATTATCATTTATTATCATTATTATTAATTTATTTTTAAAAAGACGCATAATTTTTTTGTATCCCATATGTCATATTTTGTATTCATGTGTGCGAAATTACATTGGATACAAATAATAAAATTATTTATTTACTTGTCTTAATTTATTTCAAAGATAAAAATGCTTAAAATCTATCGATTTTTATTTATTATCATTATTATCATTATCATCGTCATTATTATTATTTTATTTATTTATATTATTATTATCATTTATTTACTTGTCAAAATAATAAATCTCGAATGACCGAGAAAGATGTTGCGCCTTTTTTATATCCCATATATTCTGTGTTTTGTATTCATCTGCGAAACCATTGGATGCAAACGATAAAATTATGAAATTAGCAAGGTGAGAGTATACAACTAGTTTTCCGCGTCTTTGCGAAAATTTGCGTGAGCTGAACAAAAATGTGCATCTCGTACATTTTTTTCGGGAAAAACCCGTGAAGAGCAGCTGTTCTCCCTTCGTGGATATCATTCGTCGTAACAGGGCGAATATCCTTGGCACTATTGAGCCGCTTACACGTGCGCGTCAAAGTTGTATAAACTACCGATTGTTAGTTGCTCGTTGCAGCACTATTAATCACTCGTGTGTGTGCTGGCGCGTACATCTTCCCGCATTTGTGCAGCCGGGGTGACCGCACGTGCTTTAATTCGTAGCTTCATTGCGCGGCAATTAATTTCAGTCCCGGGACAGCCGATCGATTGTTTCGCCGGGAGTGATCACCTTTAACATTTATGCGCGTCGCAGTCCTCGGGTACGGTTTCTACTGTGTTGTTTTCAACTCCGAACGTGTACTTTCCACGCTAACGGCGGCTATCGAGAAAACATCCACGGTGCATCTCGCTGCTTGTTCGCGTTGGAAAAACTTAAAAATGCAGAGCGACTCAGGTCATTCTGCGCTGTGTTGCGCAACACACTGCGCTTATCCGTCTTCTTTTCTTTTCGTACAGGAAGAAAGCGGGGAATATTTCTCTCGGACAACGTTATGCCAGGACTTGAATATTATTTATGTCATTATTAGATAGATCAGCGAATCGCTGATTTTCGTACGCATGTCTGTTTAAGAGAGCAGCTTTTTATTTTAATTTTATTCAATATTACTTACAGTATATATATTATAATAGTGATTATTATTATAGTTACACAAAAAATCGTTATTACATTTACTATTAGTAAATTACAAACACCGTTTGCATTTATATATAAAATATTTAATAATTATTTTATTATTTATAACAGAGTGCATGATTACTATTTACTGTTTGAAATATAATAGTATATTATTTTATTATTTAAACTGAAGTATATGATTGCTTTATTGATTTTATAATACTTGATTTCGTCGATTTCTTTTTGGTTTCTTCATTAGTCATTATTATTTCGTTAAATTACAGTTTAATTTCACTTTTTAAATAAAGCAATTTTATATGTAACAAGAACTGTTTTAATCGTCAGAATTAAACTCAACGATTTCTTTTTAGGGAAGAATAATCTAACGCATATATCACACATGAATTTCAAGCAATCCTATTACCAATTTTTTCGAGCGATAAATTTCGACCTCTCCCAGCGGTGCTTCACAAGATTCGAAGTCTAAGAGCAAATTAACAGTTACGAACCGAGCAGTATCGCTACGATTTCATGCGTTGGAAGCAATAAATTAGCGATTTCTCATCGTTTCATTAATCCCACTGGCATGATTATATCTGTTCCAAAATAAGACTCGCGGAATGGCCGCATAGGAACGATTAATGCGCGAGGAAGCCGAATCTCTCCCTTAACAAATAAAGTCTCAAACTTCAAAGGCTCGACGACAATCCGCTACAAGCAGAAAAACCAATTCGCCCTAGTTTCGTTATTAGACATATCGAAACAGGACGACCTGTGTGTTAGTGTTAATGTCGGCACACGAGAGAGAGAGAGAGAGAGAGAGAGAGAGAGAGACACGCTTCACATCGTCGGCTGCGGACTCTCGTGAAAAGCAGAAAATCCCCACGGACTGATCCGTACCTGACTTTATTATTACAGCGAATTCCGACCGCGGAAACGGACGAGCAGAGGAACGTTCCAAGACACACAAACACCCACGCGCGTTGCGTGCGTCAACAATCGAATCGTTGGGTTTTGTTTATTCCTGCTAAACGCGCTCGTAAAATCCTCAGGCATAGCGTGTCGAAAATGAAGGAAAAGAACTGAGACCCGGTGAGAACGCATCGCGAAACGCGGAGTGAATTCTAGCGTGTTACCGGCCGCACAAGTCGAGTTACAGCTCTTTCGCACATCGAAGAAGCACAGGTGTCATTTTGAGAAATGGCCTCATCTCCCAAGTCACAGGCA